AAATTGTTTTTTATTCGACGGGCAATTCTTCAGGCTTTCAGATTATGTCGCGCTTGTGTCTGGATTCGCCCTGTGGCAAGAGCTAAGTAGTTTAAACAGGTTTGACCATGTACAATATTGTCATGGAGTATCCTACATTTAATATTCTACTTTGCCTCGTAAATACCTACCCAACGATGTAAGACTTGTGCGTAAACTCGCTCCGTGACCTGAGATAGCCACTCCTAACGAGTTTGCCCTTGCAATAGCATTGGCATATAGCTCGAGACGTATCTTGTATCCATCCGCCTTGAAAATAACTAGTCAAGCAAGACGTGCTGCTATTTACAGCGAGTTTGATCTTCATCAGCCAAACCATCAATTAGCTACTGTTACCCTGGACTAGAAACACACAACAAGCGCGCCCGATTTCACATTTTACACTATATCTTACAAATCACAGAATGGTATATAGTGTTAGAAGTCTAGAAACACACAACAAGCGCGCCCGATTTCACTTTTCACACTATATATTACAAATCACAAAATGGTACATAGAATAAAGATAAACCACCAGTAAACCGACCTATAAAAAACTGACCGATTTCAATTTTGACGAATCGACCTGCAGAAGTTAGATGAGCTGGCCCTTCATTGGGTATGGTTTATGCATGTTTAACTTAACAAAGCGACAACGAATTGCGTATTTTTTGCAACTAAATGCATTGGGGTGATACAATGCTCACTCAATTTGTACTGAGTCAATAATATGCGAGTCCCAACGGACGCTTCTTGGCAAACAAGCGAAGAGCTGCACGCTGCTGCCGCTCAAGAAAATAGACCAAGTAATATATTTCTCGTCGCTACCTAATGTTTTGCATATTAATTGCCACAATATTGTACGCTTGAATAAAACACGGGTGAGTCGAAGATGATTTAACCACGTTTTTAATTACATATATATATATTCACATGCAAATAAAAAGCACACGCTCGGTCCGTTTTCAGAATACTTTTGCGTACTAGTAATTCGTTACTTTACAATATTATTGAAACAGCGCTACTCTATTAGAGGGCTTTAAAGTCAAACGATTTTTACACGTACATTACAAAGACTTTGCATACGTAGCACCACGGTCGTTTGGAGTGATTATTTCTATCGCCATTGTGCTGGTGCATCCATGCAAACCAGAACATTCATCAAAAACATATGGTCAAACTGCAATGTTGATGCTGCTACCATCCTTTCGAATCATATGCGACAAGCTGGCAAGCAGAATGTCGCCAGTGTTCACCTGTTACTCACGTAGGACACCAAAAGCGCACTAATTGACAATTTTCTCCACAACTACTAATAATTCTAAGGTCAAATTGAAAACCGGATTTTCTTTTTTCGATGCGCACACGGCAAACTAAGCGGCGTAGCTAAATTCGACGCCGTTTAGAAAGGGCAGCGGTTATAAAAACCCTCTTCAAACCACTCTTTTTCATTCACAAAACACTACTTTTTCAAATCACAAACTTCATTTTCAAACACATTCTTC